ATTTTGGTGAAGCCCACTAATCTTTTGGTGTCTTTCACCAATGGGTGGAAGTTACACCCATGGCAGATTAATACAAGAGAAACTCTGAAAGAACTGTCCAAATAGGGAATAAAATGATTTCAACACACTGTTAAGAGTCCCCAGCAACAGATGTAGCTGAGCTGCATGCCCCTGGAAGGGGAGGGGAGAAGGAGGAGAGGAGTCCTTTCCAACTCTGAAAGTTAAATTCTCCGGAAGTTGCCATTTACTCTATTTACAAATGGATTTTAAAATCAGGGAAGGGATGTAAAGTGGGTCAGTATTACTGACCAGATGGGGAGGGAGTTGCATCACTAAAAGCTGTGACCAGTCAAGGGGTCCAGGGAATAAATCAGCTCAACCATGGAGTGTTTCTAACCCTCACAGCGCATCAGCATTACCAAGGGAGATTTTTTTTTTTTTTTTTTTTTTTTTTTTAACGACAGCTACAGGAGCTGCATTCTAAACCAAATGAAGCTGTATCTCTGGGGATGGGCCCAGGAATCAGAAAGGCTTAAAAACTCCCCAGGTACGGCTATTTCTCAAACAAGATGGAGAAGCACTGAGCTAGAGGAAATGGAATTCCCCCTGAGGCCCTTTTGTTGTGCTCTCTGAGCCTCACGATGACCGATGACCAGAAACTAAGATGACCAGATGACCAGAAACTGCACCAGTCTCATCCTGGCTGGGGGACTTGTTGGGAGATTGTTTGGGAGACCAGAAGCTAAGGCTCTTTAACCCTGTAATTCTTGAAGCCTTGACCTTTCTAGGTATTACAAAGTGTTTGCAAATTTATAGACAGGAGGTAGAATGGTGGCTGCTAGGGACTGGGGGGAGGGACGGGGAGTAATTCTATAATGGATACAAGGTCTAATTTGGAAAGATTTAAGACATTCTGGAGATAGTTGGTGGTGATGATTCCACAACAATGAGAACATATTTAATGTCACTGAACATCAGTACCCTTAAAAGCATTTAAAACAGCAAATTCTATGTTATATATGCATTTTACCACAACATAAAGATTTTAAATGTTTCAAGGATAATAATTATACAGAAAAATGTAATTACATGCATCAACTCATCCCACTGAAGGTTGATGCTTTACTATTGCTTTGGTGACATGAAACTTTGAAGATTAAAAAAAAGAAAAAGAAAAAGAAAGAACAAAATACAAAAACTATCTTTCAGAGGAATTTATCCCAGGAATGCAAGGGTGGTTCAACATAAGAAAAATAATCAATTAACAAAAATAATCACATTAACAAAATTAAGGAAAAAAGCTAACCACATGATTATTTCAAGTGATGTAGGAAAAAGCATTTGACAAAATCCAACATCCTTTCACTATAGAAACACTTAGAAAACTAGAAATAGAAAGGAATTTCCTCAATATGATAAAGGGCATCTATGAGAAACCCACAGCTAATATCACACGCAATGGAGAAAGACGATTTCAATCTTTCCCACTAAGATGGGGAACAAGAGGGGCAGGCTGGCTTTCACTGCTGCTACTCAACACTGTACTGAAAGTTCTAGCCAGAGCAATTAGGCTGGGAACTAGAAAAATAAAGAGAATCTAAATTAGAAAGGAAGAAGTAAAACTATCTCTATTCATAATTGACCTGATCCCATATATAGGAAATCCCAAATAATCCACATACAAAAAATCTTCTCAAGGTAATAAACAAATTCAGCAGGGAACAAGATCAACATCCAAAAATCATTTGGGAATCTATACCCCAGCAATGGAGAATCCAAAAAGGAAATTCAGAACAATTCCATTTTGGAAAGCTTTCAGAGTATCTGAGGATTGGACATCAGAAGAGTCTTGTCTTCCTTTGAAGTGGAAACATCTTGTTATTAACGGTGCTTTGTGGAGGCATATGCATCAGCGCCTTTAATTTTTCATGCATATTAGTGCATCTCATATTAAAATTAAGTAGAGCAAATAGATTTGATGAGGCTGGTAACGCAGACTGCATAGGACATGCGTAAGAAGTTGAACCTCATCCGTGGCCTGATGAGCGTAGGCTGGGTCTCAGCCATCCTGCCTCCCTTAGGAAGGCAGGGAAGCAAAATCCCAGGCCCCCTGGAGGAAATCAAGTCTGAGTCAGTCTTCCTAGGAGGTGGAGGGAACAGATTAGGCCCAGGAAACTGTTCACTGAGAAAAGTGGTTTTGTTTTTTTTTTTTATCACTTGAAAAGTTGATGTTTTTCTTTTTCTTTGTTTAATCGAAGAAGGAACTAAAAGTGTTTTTAATTATTGTGTGTGTGTCTTACCCACACACACTAGGGGTCAGAAAGAGGAAGGGCTTGCCAAGTATTGCCACATTTCTCAGATCTCTGTGTTCTGGAGACTGAAAGCTGGTAGGTGGTTCCATCATAATGATAGCTCTTTGTACCCCTTGCTGTTTCTGTTCCTCTCTCTAACAGCTCAGTAACATCTCCTCAGATCTGTGGATGGAAACGCTGGAGGCAGAAAAATTCTGAGTACAAGGAAGAAATTTGCTAGAAGAGAATAAACTCTGGTCAGGGAGCCAGAAGACCTGTGCTCTAGGCTGTCCTCGGCAGCGCCACAGCTGTGTGGCCAGGAGCCCATCCCTTCCTTTAGGAGGCCCTGATTCTTGTCTGTGAAGGGAAGAAGGGGAGGACCACAGCTGGGAGAGGCTGAGATCCTTTTGACTTTAACATTCTAGTTGTTCAAAAACATATTCTTTAGGAATCAAGAGAATTTTGAAAGAAGGGGGAAGTGACATTGATTGAAAATGACATTGAAATGAAAAGAGACACACATTTGAAAAGATGGGCAGGAACTTTTTCTACTGCAGGCCACTCTTTTCTACTGAACTAAAAGCTGAGTCAATAGGGAAGGCTCACAAAGACTTGGGTGCGGGGAGTAGATGAGGCCAGGGAAGGACAAACAGCATATCTCCACTTTCAGTTTTCCCAAGCCAAGGCTCACCAGGACAGCTGGGCCTCAGAAATCAGCCTCATCGTGGGCCATGATTTTTTTGCTTGTTTTAGTTGAGGGGATGGGGGACCATGAGGGGGCATATCAAATAACTCCCAAAGATGAATAAATGGGCACTTGAGTGAGATAGGAGACCTCTGTGGTACTTAGATTCCCCTCCCAATTTTATCAATTCAGCAAATGTTTTTATAAGGTGCCTACTGTGTACTGGGGGTTGCAGAGGGTCAGAAAGGGTATTTGGTTGGAAGACATTCACAGAGAAGTCAGGCATGTGCACAAATACCCAAATGTCTAAAATGCAAAGCAGAATGTGAGACTTGCTCCAAGGGAATTCAGATAAATTTCTGGAAGAGTTCAGATTAAGGGCTGCTATCTATTTATGATATGTACTAGTACCTGGAAAGTTCAGGAAATGGACCCTAGAGGCTGGAGCACAAATTTGAAAAATCTTATTCTTCCAGCAGTAGCTATATTCTCTGGTTCAATTTTACAAAAATGAAAACCAGAGCAGAAAGGTGAGGAATTATTGGCACTCTGATCATCCAGAGAGTTGGCAATGTAGCCAGATACAGAACTACAAACTGAATCCAGCAGTGAAACCATGTACCAGTATAAAGCTCATCTCAAAAGAGGAAGCCCAAAGTTACAGCCACTCCCTCCACAACCTTCCCAGGGTAAACCCAAAGAGTACCAACCAAAATTCAAAGCAAGATAAAAATAATCATAAGCAAGCTGGAGTCACTGGGTATCTTTGGTCCCCAATAAGCCAATGTCTCCAGAGTGACAACTCCACCTTCTTGGGGAGGGCGTTCCTTGTTGAAGCCCTCCTGCCCGTTCATAAGTGAGTTGTAGGGACCTAAATTGAGGGGAGGCTAGAAAAAAGATAGCCCCCGAGATGAAAACCCTGGCAAGCTCACTGCTTTTGCAGAGCTTACTGGCCACAGGGTCTCAGCATTGAATTTGAACGAGCCAATGGTATCCCAATGGCTGAAACAGGAAGCCAGATAAACAGCATGTTATCAAGGGGCGATCCAGCGCTTCCCTTAAGCCGGCGCCAGCTGCGCCCTGTGACTATCCTAACAAAGTCCCATTGACTCACCAGCTGATTTTCCTGTGTTGGGCTCTGGGCACAAGGAACCCTCTCTGCTGGGTGGATGTCACCCTAGCTCACTACCCCTGGCCACCCACTGCTCATGTCCTCCCCAGCTCCTGTCTCTTCTCTGCCCCCTCTGATGTGGCTGGGGCTCAATCCTATGATCAGTTTTGCCAGGTTCTGAGGATTTGAAGGGACCATAAGGACCAGGCACCGGACACCCTCGGATGAGCGTCTCACCTGATGTTCACCCAACCTCTCCCTTTTCTTCCCTCTCATATCCTCCGGGAGCACTTTTCTGCTCCCAAACTCTCTGGATTGGCGCCAGAAAAGACAGCTTCAGAGAGACTAAGAAGCGCATCCTGGGGGCCTTGCAAGGTCACCTGTCCCAGCTATTCTGCAGGCTCCTGTTGGGTTGGGAGAAGAGTTAACTAAGCTCTTCAAAACAAGGGAAGTGTGGGTTACTGGTGTGTGTGTGTGTGTGTGTGTGTGTGTGTGTGTGTGTGTGTGTGAGAGAGAGAGAGAGAGAGAGAGAGAGAGAGAGAGAGAGAGAGAGAGAAACACAGCGCTTGGTGCCTCGGGTTTTAGGAACGCAACGCACTTTAAATCCCAGATATTTCACAGAAAGGGAACCTGGGATCAGAAGGATTGGAGTTGGGTAGCCCTGGAGAGCCGACCCCCAGAGTCAGCGGCACAGTCGGGGAGCGACGTCTGGGGACACACCTTCCAAACAAGCTGCTAGCATCTGCGTTGTTATTCCAAAGCGTCTCCCGAGCCCAGCCCACAGCACCCCTCTGGCACCAGGCTCCCCACTCTGGAGGCTGGCTCGGGGCCCCGCAGGACCCGCCAGCCAAGCCGCGCAAAGTGCGGAGCGTCAGACCCTCCGCCCGGCTCCCGCCCCGCACGGGTCACTTACCGGYGCGCCTGTCCTCCGGGGCTTGGGGTCCACGCCGCCGCCACCACCGCAGCGCAGAGTCGCGCATCTCCTAGCAGCGCCGGTCCGGGCGTCCTCTCCTCGCGCACAGAAACTTTTCTGGGGGCTCGGCGACCCGGGTGGGCCCCTCTCACCAGACTCAGCCGGCGCAGCGCGATCCGGCCTCGGGCCTCGCACTAGGGCCGCCTCGGGCCCCGGCCCCACAATGAGGAGGAGGCGGCATCCTGAACAAAGTGCCGTCCCCCCGGGCCAGGCGGTCGGGGGCGGAGCCTCGTGACCCGCTGCCCCAGGCACACGCCGGCTGCCTCCACCGCGGGCCCCGGGAGGGGAGTGCCCGGGCCGGGGGGCGGGCGGCAGGGGAGGCTTGGCTCCGGATCGCCCTCGCTTTCCGCTTCTGCACTGTGCCAGTTTAACCCGCAGAGGGGCGGAGGCATGGGTCCCTTCCAGACTTTGTCATTGGAAAGCTATTCCCGTAACCCTTTCCTGCCTTCGCCTTCCCGCCCCGCCTCCCCAGCCCGCCGCAGAAAAGCGGCTGCTGGGTGGCGGGGCTGGGGCTGCGAGCTGTCAGGACAGGAAGCCTTTGCACAATTGAGCTTTTCCTTTGCCCAGGAACCCGCCACCACCACTTCCAGGCCGAGGTCCCTTCCTCCCCCACACACGTCCCCCGGCTGCCTTTGGTTTTGCGGATTTTTCAGAGAAGGGGACACAGATGGACCATTGAACATCCCTACCCCGCATCCGACTCCGGCCACCCCTTTCCTCCCTCTCTGTGCACCTCTAAAAGTCATACTGTCTGAGACGGGACTTTGGGGTGCAAAACAAATAACTGACTTTCCCCCACCTTCCAGACCTTGTCGCAGCCCCTCCTTCTTTCTGGGACTTGGGAAAAGGGGAAGAGGGGAGAGGAAATGACAGGACCTGAGAAGAGTGTATAAAGTGCATTCAGCTGAGCCTGGCACAACTAGTCCGTAGGGCCAGGAGGCTACCGCTTCTTCTGCTCTGGGGGCTTCCAGGCTCTGAGGTCAGAAGGAAGGAGGAAATCAGATGGCATGTGCTCCTGGAGTAGGTTTTGATCTATATGGGAGAAAGGAAGTAACTGGGGCCAAGGACCTAGCAGATTGTGATCAGACACTTCCCCAACAAACACCAGAGCTGATTTATAGGGAGGTTGGAGGAAAGCAAAATACTTACTCCCTAGGAGGTCACAGAGCTCTTTGCTGCCAAATCAGTCAGTGGGAGCAGAGTCAGGATTAAAGCTCCTGAGTCCTGGTTACCGAATCAGCATAGTAGCCATGGACATAAGGGGGAGATAGGGACCACTAGACAAGGAACAGTGACATTCAAGACATTCCTGGTTCATCATAGAAAAGAATGAATTGTCTTTTGGCAGTGTGAGGGGAATGTAGAGTGACAGCTGAGATGAGCCTCTTACCCTGTGTATAAGTGGTTAAAAGTGAGGATTTTTTAAAAAATATTTTTAAGAGTTGTTCATGGACATCTATTTATTTATTTATTTATCTATCTATTTATTTCTTTATATGTGGTGCTGAGAATTGAACATGCTAGAAAAACTATCACTGAGCTACAAACCCAGCCCAAAAGTGGGGATTTTTAATGCAGATTGCATGGGCCTACTGCTTATTAGCCATAGAAACTTGAACAAATTCTTTAACTTCTGACATCCTCAGATTCTTCATCTGTAAGATAGGATAAAAATAGTTCCTGTCTTAAAAGTTTGCTGGAAGGATAAAATGAAGTATTATAGATGAAACACTTAAAATAGTGCCTGACACATAGTTTTTACTTAGTAAACACTGGCTATTATTTTGATCTCCAAGTCTACAAACTTGCATCCAATTTAACATTCAATGATGTGCTAGTTGCAGTCTTTTCTTGCTTTTCACAGTCCCCTTAGCATAAATAAGAAATCCGGTCCTTTACAAGAAGTCCTGTCCTTTTCTCAAGTGTTCAAGGATGGGTCTGGCTGAGTTTCTTGGCCCTTCTAGGCCCAGGGACAAGAGACCATGCAGGAGGCATGCAAATGTGCATCGAGACGGAATTGTACCTATCCATTGTAAGGCTGCATGAGGACCCCATCCCTCCACACTGGTAATTCTGGCCTGATGCCTTTCCTTGGGTACTACTCAGGGTGGAAAAGAAGGCCATAGCTCTAACGTAACTAAGGGTTAAGTCTCTTCCATTTGTGCATAGGATCAATATTTCTCTCCAATGCATGAGTGAGTCATGTACAAGTCCTCCCTTGCTCTGCTCTAAATGTCCCAATCACAGACTTCTAGCAGTGAACTTGTGGCAAACAAGTGGATGGTTTGGGGGAGGGTGGGAGTGAGGGGGCCAGTCTGGTTGGAATGATTAGTAGAGGATATGAAGGCTACAGAGAAGGTGGCTGGGACAAAGTGACAGAGAAGAGAAGACAGAAATTAGTATGTATGGAGGGATATTTGGGTAAGAAACTGGTTCTCCGCCCATCTCTTAGTGGCCTCTGCCAAGTGCCTACCTAATGAGTGGTTTTCATCTGAACACTGATGACTCAGTTGCTCTGAATCAAGCAAATGGATTTTCCTTAAATATGAAAATCAATAAGAGGTAAAGGCAAGGAGGGGAGGGAGGGGCGAGCCAAAAGACAGCTGGAGAGTGAAATGGTTGGAAAGTAATGGACAGAGAGGGACTTAGGCTCCCTGCAGGGGATCTTTGGTATGATCACTGTGCCCCACCCCACCCCCATCAGAGAAGGTGACCTTACTGAGGGATCTTCAAACCTAACAGCTTACTGGACATGATGGTGCTTGCCTGTAATCACAGCAACTCAGGAAGCTGAGGCAGGAGGATTGCAAGTTCAAGGCTAGTCTGGGCAATTTAGAGAGACCCTGTCTCAAAATAAAAGGGCTGGAGCTCAGGATAGAGCACCCTGGGGTTAAAAAAAAAATTTAAAAAAAGCTCCACAGCTCCCCTGCTCCCTCTTCCCCACTTAGAGCCAATCCTGCTTCAGGGCAGGAGATTATTAACAAGAGGTCAATGTCAATGTGACAAATAGGTTTTAAAATATCAGTGCAGAAAGCCTGTTGTCACCCACATAGCCTCAGATCTGGCCTGGATACAGTGAGAGCTTTGGAAGCCCGGGGAAGCACAACAAATGCTTTTTCAGTCATAGCCTGATTTMTTTGGGGTCTCTGCCTGTTTTCTGCCACCTTGAGCTCTGTGGACCAGTGCTGATTTGTTTTGTAGCTTGAGTTATCTGACGTGGGATTTGGGGAGTGTGAACAGAATCATAACTCCTACGTGCCTTGTGGTCCACAGGCTCGGGGCAGGGCAGGGGGACAGTCTTGACCCTCCTGACTCTTGCTCAGGGCTGCCAGAGCAGTTTGTAAGGCCCTTGCAGGGATGTGGAGATCGGACATTGCTTGATTTTCTTGAGCATTTAATAAAGGTCATTAGCACCCTGAGGTGGAGTCCTAGGAGCTTCTGACTTCCTCCTCTGAAGCCAGTGGAAAAACACTGGGCCTGGCCGCAGAGGACCTGACTCCATGCTTTGCTTGTGCTGTTTGCTAAAGTACCTCAGTTTGCTTGTGGGTAAAAGGGGGTGTTGATACCCAGGGAGCAGCAATAGCCACCTAAGAGGAGGCTGTGATGAGTATTTGGTGAGATAATGGGAGAGTGCTCCCATTATCTCACCAAAGTGCAAGTGCTCCTGTCCCTTGCATTGTCCCCCCTCTCCCCCCAGTGGTGGGCTCTGTGCTTGACAGCCCATTTTTGAGCGCTAGAAATCTGACTGTCCATTCATTATCCTTGTCATTTTTAGTTGAGGAATTAGCCTGCAAGGGGCTTCCTCTGCTGGTGTCATGGGGTGGAGTGGGGTGGGGGCAAAGCTGTGACTCCATCCTTAACCACTATGGCCTCACAGCTGGCCTGGGGTAGGGGGAGCTGAAGAAGGGCCCTCTATTGACAGCTTAAGCTCACGAAGACCCAGGAGAAAGAGTCCCTAGGGAAATGCTGGCTCTGTAATGAGTGTTTTACAGAGCGAACGAGTCACTCCTTATCGGGAAGATGCAGTTTCTCTGTTACCAGGAAGTGAGATGAGCTGGGAGCCAGCACAGTGTTTTTCCAAAGATGGACTTCGAAGAGGAGTGTTTCTTTAAGGAGCCAGGAGAGCAGGGGCGGGGTTGCCAGGGAGAAGCGGGCCCCTTTAAGAGACCTAGCTGGCTGCAAAGCCAGAGATGATGGTCCATATATAGCACCAGTGTGCCTCAGCAGCAGTTCTAACCTATATTAACATATTGAATCCTCACAAGAAGTCTATGTCATAGGTATCATTTTTTTGTCTTTTATTAAACTTCTTTTTTTTTTTTTAATGCCAGGGATTGAACTCAGGGGCACTTKACCACTGAGCCACATCTCCAGCTCTATTTTTGCATTTTGTTTAGAGACAGGGTCTCACTGAGTTGCTTATCGCCTTGCTTTGCTGAGGTTGGCTTTGAACTTGTGATCCTCCTGCCTCAGCCTCCTGAGCCACGCTGGGATTATAGGCATGCACCACTGCACCAGGATATTAAACATTTTTAAAGAGAGAAGTGTCTATGTTGTATAGGCTGGTCTCAAATTCCTGGGCTCAAGTAATTCTTCTGCCTCAGCCTCCTGAGTAGTCATGATTGCAGACACACGCCTCCATGCCTGGCCATAATTATCATTTTATGGTGAAGAAATTAAGGTCAAGTATCTTGTTTGGGTTTCAGAGCTGTTAAGTGCAAGAGCTTGGATTTGAACCCGAGCAGTCTGGCTTCTGAGTCTTTTGCTCTCAAGGACAATACATAGAAACTATCAGAGGATGACAGTCCAGTGCATTATGGGATGGTGGGAAAGGGCCCTATCATTTACTGGATTCAGTGGGTTTCTTTATTTCTTTTCAACAGCTTCATTGAAGCATAATTTACATATCTCAACTTTAACACATCATAAAATGTACAACTCTGTAGCAAATCTGCCAAGTTGTACCGTCATCACCATAAGCAAGTTTTAGACCATTTCCAGGTTTGCTCACTTATGGTTTAATCTGAGTCTCAATTTTCCTCATCTGAAAAATGGGATTAACAGAAATGTTATGAGCATAAAATAAGCTTGTAAATGGTATATGGTAAGTGCTCAGAAACCTTAGTTAGGGCTGGGGATAT